CAATAGCAGAAGCTCTGTTGTACAACCATATGAGGCCCAGAGGAAGAGTCGTGGTCACAGCTTCTTTTTTTTTTTCTCTCCCTCCTCTGCTCTGCCCTCACTCTGCATGCTGTTACCAGAGCAGGGAGCAGCAGCGGTCAAAATACCTCAGAAACTCGAACAAATAGGCTTTAACAAGGCTTTAATAAGCTAAACAATAGAGGTACATGAGAAAACGTGTTCATAACGAACGAAAATAAATAAATAATTAAATTGTGTCCGTACCGGAGTCAAACCCTGGTCTCCCACTCTCTGGTCCTACACTCTACCCATTGCCCTATTGGAGGCTTGTTGCAAAATGAGCTTCACATTGCACAACAACCGTGACGGCTTTTTATACGGAGGAGGTGGAGTTTCACCCAGGGGTTGCTAGGTAAGGGGCTGAACGCAGGTTCCGGTGGGTTGTCGTACGTCTTGTGACATCACAAAATGATGGAAGTATAAATCTTGTCGTTAATACACATTAAAAATATATTTACTTACAGTAAATATGCCCCTGGGTGCATTTTTTTGGTCCTACGACTGTTCTTTTAAGAAGTACATACCCAAAGTTGAGTTAAAAAAAACCTTTAAAAAGTGAATTTTGCATAATAGGTCCCCTTTAAGACTTCTGAAAGATTGATTTAAGACATTTTAAGGCTAATTAAGGCCTTATTTTTGGATTGATGAATTCAACGACTTAAAACTTTTTAAGGATCTGCAGGAACCCTGCAAAACTTGCTGCAGTATTCAGATATGTAATTTTCCCTTTTCTTTCTGAAATAAAAGGGCTGTCCTGTGACCCACCATGTGCAACTAAACAAAACATGTAAGTTACTATTTTGGATAAGAATATTTACATCAAACATCTGAACTGTTACAGGTACTGTTAATCTAAACTAAAACTCTTACCTGGGTCAGACATAGACAGCTTTCTGGATCAACCTCCATGCACTTCTCAATAACTTCTGGCAGCTTCTGTAGTGTTGTGCGGTGAGAGAAGAGCATCACATGGTTTGTCTTGCTGCCGCTGCATACAGTGGTTTTAAACAGATCCCTTATTGAGTTCAGGGTGGTCTTCATCAGGTCACACTCCATACTGACACTGGGCAGGACAGCCACTAGCCGAAGCAACATTGCAACAGTTGGGTGACTCTTGGACTCAGGATGGACGAGTGCTTCAGTGACAGATGCTGGAGGAGCGACATCCTGGTATTTTTCTCTCCAGACAGAGGCCCATCTGTTGATTTCCTGCTCGGCTGACTCGAGCTCAGGAAGATCTGTAAGGTAGAGGCTGAAAGGCTTGACTGTGGAATCTGACAGTATGGGCTGAGGATTGCACGAAGGCAACAACAACAGGACTGAAAGAGCATTTAAGTGGCTGTCGGAGAAGCAATATTTCATCTCGTCAATGAGGTTTTGGAGGAGGGGAATGCTCAGATTTTCTCTGTAGTAAATCTCTGGAGATTCGTAGTTGTTGGCTTCCTCTGAAAAGCACACTTGTTCAGGAGCAACCTTGGTTGCTAGCTGGAATGCCTGTTCAAACCAAGTTGAGTGTATGGTGTTCACATTTTCTAACATTTTCTGAAGCGTTTCCATGATTGATGGGATTTTTTCCACCTCACAGAGAATGTCGGCAGGGTTTCCACAGCGAAAAACTGTGCTGCAGTTACGAAGTGGGGCACAGGCATTCTTCAAAATCACCAGGGTGACAATGAAATCTATGTTTCTTAGTGCAGAAGAGAGAACCTGTGCATGAACTGATTTGGCACCTATGGCACTAGAGCTGACAGCATCTAGGCAGGTAAGAACACCATCTAATGTGTCTGCAAGAATGTCAAAAAAGTCCTCCCTTTTTTTCCACTTTGAGCAAAATGTTTCAGGAAATTCCTCTAAAGCCTCCCTTGGCATGTTCAAAAGCCCATCAACAGCTTGTGCCAATTGTTCCTCCAGACAAGGAGACTCGTCAAAGAACAGCAGCAGATCTTCAATGATGTCTAGTATCTTTGTCACTGAGGGGCAAGGCACACTACTGGCCAACCAATAGGCAAGACCACAAGACTCACTGGGTGTTATGACGCAGAGTGGGTAGCTCTGAAGAAAATTCAAAGACATTTTCTTAAGGCTTTCATAACCTAAACCCAAATGCATGAAGGCTTGTCCTCGACACTGAGACATGGACAATCCCCAGTCTTCAATGAGAATCTTTGCAAGATGACTTGCTTGTCTATCAGCGTTACTGTTTTTATCAAATGGCAAAAAACCCAAGAGCTCAACCTTTGGAGCAGATTCCCCAACATATCGAACAAAAACAGGCAGGTGGGTCTTGTCAGCAATTCTAACAGGTTTATCTATGATGAGTGAGAAAAATGGAGATTCCTGAATTTCCTTAAGTATGACATCTCTGATTCCAGTTATGAGGAGGTTCACCATTTCATCATCACTAACCGATGGTATGGTTCTACTTTCATTTCCAAACCAGTGGCACATCTTGAGCTCCTGAACAAGTGGCTCTTGGTCTTCTTCTGAAAGTTCGCTCAGGCTGTTATTCTTTTTTCCAAGGAGCGCAGCCAACCTGAAAACTGTAGCCAAACTTTGACGATTATCTCCAGTGTGTCCATTCTCATCTTCTGCTTTTATCTCTTCATTTATCAAATTCTCAGTGGATTGCTGAACTTTGGACTCCTCTGCTTCTTCGACATAGTCGACTATACACGACAGAAAAAAAAACATAACAGTGATTAGATTTCTCATATTATAGCAGAGATGATAAAAGTTAAAAGCTCATCTCTAGAACATACCTTCCATATTATTTTCAGAGTTCTTGATAATACTCTTAGATTCCTTGTCCTGTAAGAAGAGCAGTTTTATAAACGTTACTTTGATATTAATACAATCAACAACTGGCAAAAAGTAAAAATAAAAATAAAATATTAAAAGTAACATGTTTATTTTCTTCTAAGCCAGTTTGTAACTGGGCTGCAACCATGGACTCTATGCATCTACAGACATTTAACTGGATCTAGAATGGGACAAATCTTCACAGGAGGCTGGTTCAAGTACAAGTTCTAAGTCTCATCCTCTACATGCAAGCAACATATTTTGTAAAAAAGAAGAAGAAAACACTTCAAATTTTTTCTGGTGTTGTATCTTTTGACACATAATTCATACCTTGCTGTTATAGTTTTAAATACCTATTTTTCAAAAATATTTAGCTGTTACAAGACTTTTCATTAGAAAGTTCATGTGACATGATAATTGCATATGGAAAAAAACACAACAGTGATTAGATTTCTCATATTATAGCAGAGATGATAAAAGTTAAAAGCTCATCTATATATAAAATACACACACACACACACACACACACACACACACAC